CTTTTTGTGAAAAAAATTTCGCTGGTAAAATTAGTGATGTTAGTCAATTAGAAACACAATTAGATCAATTGTTTGTTGCTCAAATTACTTATGAACTAAATGCTTATTTAGAAGCTATGGAAAAGACGAGGTAAGTTCATTCTTTTTCTCTTACATATTTCATTTAGGTTTCACTTTTTCTTTTAGACTTCGTGATGGTCTCAAATGTGTTTTACGTATGTCTCGTTATGGTAATCAATATTTACAAATGAAACAACCATGGGCGAAATGTAAAGGTTCTGATGCTGATAGGTAAAGTTTGTTTATTTTAATCCTCTTTATCATTAAACATAGAAAGTATATTTTAGACGAGATGCTGAAATAAGTATAGCTCTTGCATTAAATCTTGTTTATTTACTTTCATTGGTATTACAACCATTTATGCCAACAACATCGGATGAAATTCGTCAACAACTTAATATTAAGGAAGGTGTTTATGCATTAGAGAATGCTTTTCGTTGTTATTTACCAAGTGGTCATACTATTGGACAAGCTCGACCATTATTTAAACGTGTGGAAAAAACTTTGACAGATGAATATCGTTTACGTTTTGCCGGTCACAAGAAATAAGAGTTTTTCAAAAACTTTTTCGTTTGTTATTGATGTTGTTCTCATTCAATTACGAAAAAGAAAGAATAAACATACATGATTTGTGTCGTTAGTCTCTCAAAAAAGAAAACTACTTATAGTAAACGAAAATTAGTGATGAAGATATTTTAGTTCCTTATGTATTGTTTCGAATGAAATCCAGAACAAACGAAGTTATAGATCAATGCTGCATGAAAAAGGAAAGAAATAAAACCGGAGGAAGTACTGCACAAATCAAGAAAATCTAATTTTTTTTTATGAATATGAGAAATAGTAACATGACTTGAATGTTGTTGAGTTATCTTATTAAATTGAATAGAGCCTACTTAAGCCTTTATTGATCGAATTTTGTCTTTCATCACGTCACGTCTGAAAATTCACAGCTTGGTTCAATATAACATTTTGTAATGAAGTGTTCGCTCGGTAAAACGACTTATTTCAACAATTTCTAGCTTCTTCGAAAAGGAACTTGTAGGTGTTAATAGAACTCTATACGTTCGCCATTCAATCTAATCTTTTGGGTTGTTAAAATATTTCTACACAGATCTTAAAAAATATTTCCAATTCCATATTCAAAGAGAACACAAAGTTATGATCATCACTGAAACGCTGTCAAGCAGATCAAAATGAGTACTTGTTTGTACGAGAAACTTCAGTTTACATTTTTCGTGCCAACTCATTTTTTGGTTCTGTCAATGGATCACCTTACTACTCTCGAACGAAAACTGAAATAAAAATTTCTAAAAGCATATTCGGAAAGCACATACAATGCTAGTCTTAACCCGTCGAATTGACTCATTGAAAACAATTTTAAGAGAACCATAAAATAAACAAATATTTTGTCGCAAACACTTTAGGCCAACCCGTTATTACAGTATACAACATCTGGTGGCAGTAGAATAAAAAAGAAAGACACAAATAAATTCATCAAATCTTTTTTTTTTTCATTAAATGTTCGAAATAATCATCTTGATTGTTCACATTCTATTACATTTGTTGAATCCATGTATTGAATGTTTTTTAATACTTTTCTTTATATGAAGAATTTGTGCACTTGTTTATATCATGATGCAACGATTTAGAATTGTGTTTATCGATTAGATTTTGTTTGATTAAGATGAAATGTATTAGCAAAGATATTCTCGCTTTTATGTACACGATTAGTCATGTGTAAGAAACCTTGCTATTACAATCGTTGATTTTCTGTTGAAAACTTGGCTGTTTTTTTGGAATTTATTGCAAACGTAAAACATTTGGCTGACTTTTCAATACATTCTGTTCCTTCAACTTGAATTTTTGTTCACTCTATTTCGTTTGATATGATCTATGTTCAAAAATAATTTAACCATATTTTTTCCATTTTGAATACGACCAGCTCATTTTCCTTTTTCTTATGATTCTTTCATGAAAACTGTTCACGATTCAGATTTTTCACTATTTATGCAATTCATCCAAAGAAAGACCTTAGTTCATTCAATATTACTTTCAATTCATTCATTTCATTTTTATAATTTTAGACTCAATGTGTAAAATGCTCAGTCTTTTTTTCCGTTTTTAATGTGGAGTGTGGGTGGATGTGCTTTTTTGTCTTTCAGATTTCAATCATGGAAGTTTGGTCGCTTTTGCGACTGATAATGCAAAGAATATTTCAGTTCGTAATATACTATGTTTTTTTCTGTGTACACTACAATATTATGACATATAAATGACTCATGTCCTCGATTGCATCATATTATCGACATTACACGAGATACTATAAATTATCATAACAAAACTAAATATATTTTTAATACAAAGTATTTGCTAATAATGGCAAAATCAGACCAAACAGACGATATTAATTTACAAAATTTAAAATTCGAAGAATCGACTACAGTGACACTGGAAGCAGCTAACAGTGAGACTACAGATCAAGCGACTAAATCAAAGAAAAAAGCCTCAAAACCAGAAAATTGCAACCATGAAAAATCTCAATCAACTCCCGATGTATCTGTAAAAAAAATTGATTTTAATCGATCATCTGAAGAAGTTGCACAAGCTTTAGATCAATGGTTGAGGAAGCCATTGGCTCTAAATAAATTAAAACCTGATGAAAAAATGTAAGAAATGCTGAATGTATTGTTTGCGATATTAGGATCTTTTTAGTAAGATGAGACTGAAGAAATGTTTCCTAAAATAGATAGAATAGAACAAACTCAATCTGTTCGGCAATAGCATTTACACCATGTTTCATATGTTAATCTCTCATGGATTATACTAACAGTTTTATTAATATTTCTTTGTTCATAGAACACCAAAACCTGATGTTCGAAATATTATGATAACAAGTGCTTTACCGTATGTCAACAATGTACCTCATTTAGGTAATCTTATTGGATCTTTATTAAGTGCTGATGTCTTTGCTCGGTAAATTCAAACCATTTTCTTATTTTCTTATTTTCTTTACTATTCATATTAAATCTTAGGTATTGTCGTTTGAGAAACTATAATACTTTATGTCTTTGTGGTACTGATGAATATGGTACAGCTACTGAAACAAAAGCATTGGAAGAAAAATGTACACCAAGAGAAATTTGTGATAAATATTATGATCTACATACTAACATCTATAAATGGTTTCAGTTAGAATTTGATTATTTTGGTCGAACATCAACACAAAAACAAACTGAGTATGATTTTTCACTTCAATAGAAAAAAAAGAAGAAAGTATCTATTTGATTTATAATTGATTGTATTGTTAATTTTAGAATAGCTCAAGATATTTTCTGGAAATTACATAAACGAAATCTTATTTTTAATCAAAGTGTTGAACAATTGCATTGTGATACTTGTCAACGGTACAAAAAATTTTTTTTCGACCTAGGTGCGCAGATACGAATACAACTTGTAATGAACTCACCATATATAATCTAAGACATCGTTCTATTTACTTTGAGCTTTGAAATTTGTCTAATGTAATGACCCGACAACATATATGTCCCCCAAAAACCTAGAACTCTAGAATTCATGTAATGACATGTAGTTACATACGTATGATGCCTTATTTGAATTTCCAGGAAATTGATTTGTATTTTCGAAAGCTTGTTTCATATTTTCTGTTCATGGATATAGCGGAGATATAGGAGGTATAAGCAGGTATGCAAAGTAATCTGATTAACATACCATGTTTTTCATCAACTCCCCAAAAATCAAGAAGAGAAATGACGTGCTAACACACACAGGGCAGGTCACTTGCTATGCTTGCTGTGAAAGAACTGGTCACGAAGCGACACACATCACGTCGAAGATGATGTAGGTGCCATGGAAGAACTGGCTACGAAAAGACTGGTCGCAAAAGAACTTAGGACAAAACGACATAAATCACGTCGCACGTGGTGTGGATTCCACGAGAGGACTGGCCTCAGAAGGACTTACCACAAAACGATGCAGATCACGCCGAAGCTCGTGCGAGTGCGGCGGTGGAACCTATCATCAATTGACACAGCGCATCGCAGTTGATATTAGTGGCGGGAAAGCAGTGGATGCGAACGGACTGACCGCGAACTGACAGACAGAACATCGCATCTGGTATGGATATGGCGAAATGACGAGCATACTCTACAACAGTCATACAGGACGTCTGACCATGTGCGATTGCTCAGGAACCTGCGCAATAGCAATGACGAGTTCGTGATATTTCGAGATCTGGTTGTCCTGTCAGCTAACGTTTAGACATGTATTCACGTAGAGATCGGTTTTGGATATGCAGTATTAGAATAGTCGCTCGGTGAGCTTATGGTTCAGTTTTGTTTAATTGTTCCGTGAGTCGTCGCGGCTTCCGTATATGTAAATCCTGTATCTGGAAATTGAGAAGAATTTCAGCTGATACAGCTTTCGTAGAACAGCTCGTGAAATCCACGGGCATACTGTTAAATCGTTTCTTATTGTTTTAGTTTTTGAACACGTTGGATATTCAACTTTCTTGCAAAGAATTCTTTTGTTTTTAAAAATGACTGGTTTTCCTAGAAAGGTATTGAGGAATTTTCCTTTAACTGATCAGCAGTTTTGCCTATGTTTAGTATGGATGGTTTTTTTGCAGCCATACACAGATCTGTCGGTTTAGCACTAGCATTAGCATCAAATAATACAAACTGTATATCTTCTTATACCTCCTATTACCTACTGTATCTTTATCTACAGAAAACTAAAGGAATTTCCGAAAATTCAAATAAATATCTCGGAAATTCAAATGAGGCATCTAATCATTACATGTAATGACATGAATTCTAGAATTCTAGGTTTTTTCGGGGATATATATATTGTCAAGTCGTGACATAGACAAATTTCGAAGTTCACAGTAAATAGAAGGATGTCTTAGATTATATGTGATGGGTCCATTACAAGTTGTATCCGCACTTGCGCATCCCTCTTTTTCGATTATTTACTTCGTATACATTGATGTATTTATAGTTTTCTTGCTGATCGTTATGTAGCTGGTACATGTCCAGATCCAGCATGCAAATTTGTTGATGCCCGTGGTGATCAATGTGATAAATGTGGAAAACTAATTAATGCTGTTGATCTTATTGATCCAAAATGCCAAATTTGTCGCAGTACACCACAAAGAAAAACATCGGAACATTTATTTCTTGATTTACCAAAAGTATGATAAGTCTTACTAAGATGTATCGCCTCAAATCAATCATAAGTATACTGAGAATGAAAGTGCTCAAAAGAAAATTATAAATTCACACAAAATTAGAATTTGTCGAAATCGATCAATGTATGATCAATCGACATAGAAAGTATCAACTATTATGATGTTTATTGTTCATTTGCAAATCGATAAAAGAGTGCTGAGTGTATAAATAGAATTCCATCGAATACTAATGTATTGTTTTAAGAGTAGAATTCATATCAGTTTGAAAGTGCTCTTCTGATGGCTACTCAATCCAAGCAAGATGTTTTCGTCCTAATGCTTCTTCGACTAGTTTAAGATTGTATTCTTTTGAAATACAACCAAAACGACTTTCAGAATATTGTTTTAAAGCAAGCTTGAAAAATCATTGCTCTTTCATGGTTACACTTGACAATTCGGTTTCTAATAACGTATATCATCGATCGTTAGATGATTTCATTTTTAATCTATTCACAACGCAATCAAGTCTTTTAATGTCTAAAATCTTTGATTTAGTTATCACCCGAAGTTCAATCATGGTTTCACAAATCAAGTTCAACCGGCCATTGGACCAATACCGCAACTACAATTACGGAAGCTTGGCTTAATGAAGGTCTTAAACCACGTTGTATCACCCGCGATCTTAAATGGGGAACACCAGTACCTTTGGAAGGTTACAAAGATAAAGTAATTG